TAGAGCTGGAATTGGCTTCGTTGGTCCAAAAAGGGCAATCAGCGGCTTGTGATCTGTCACCAGGATGAAACGTCGTCCGTAGAGGAACTGCTGAAACTTGTTGAGACCAAAGATGATAGCCAGGGCCTCCTTCTGGATTTGGCTGTATCTTCTCTGGGTCTGCGTCAGTATTTTTGAGACATTGGCAATGGGTCTCTCACTGCCATCGCTGTATCTATGAAACAAGACACCAGACAATTCCCACGTCTGATGCATCGCAGGATATTCCCACCTCCAACGCAGGGTTGAAGAGGGCCAGGACGGTGTCAGCACTCAGACAGTTTTTGATATGTTGAAAAGCTGTCTGTTCAGGAGTCCCCCACTGCCATGGGGTGTCTTTCTTTGTCAGGCGATACAACGGTTCCAGGATAGTCGACAGTTTTGGTAGGAATTTGCTGTAGAACTGGACTTGGCCTAAGAAAGATCTCAAGCTGGACACGTTGGAAGTGGGAATATCCTGCGATGCATCAGACGTGGGAATTGGCACTGGGGGCGGATCCATCCTTTGACAGGGAGGAGACTGGTGCAGACTCAGCAACTATCTGCACCATAAAATTGATCAGCAGCCAAAATGCACCTGCAGACCCGAAAGTTTTAGAGAGAGAAACATCCAAGACCCTGTTGAAACCTACACAGCAAAGCCAAGCTCAGCCCATCCAAGCTGCCTGCCTCTGCAACAAGCCTTCAACGAAGCAAGAAAGCCTCCCTAGACCCGGGGAAGCAACAAGCCACGCTGCCTGCCTCTGCCGCAAGCCTTCCACGAAGCAAGAAAGCTTTCCTAAGCCTTGGGAAGCGACACAGGAGTCTGGTCGAACATCGAGAGGACAGCTTGGTGAGAAATAATTGTTCGCATACGGCTCACGTTACGATAGAGTCTACGGAGACTTATTAGTCCGCTCATTGCCGAAAGTTTGCGCACGTTTCGCTTATCATCTCGACTTTCTCCCCCCGGAGTTGGTCAAATTTTTATTGCACGCTCTCAAAGTCTATCCTCATTACTTGCTATTCCTGAGGTCAAGGGTCCTTGGCACTCGTATTTGATTTACTTTTAGTGCCGGTCAAGTGAAGTTTTTCTGATGGTCAGGGCCTAAAGGTAATGTCGGTAGGGCGTTCTTCTCGCGCCTAACAGACATTAAACTCAATCCCAATCTTTGCTTTCCTTTGTTAAAACCAAAGCCAAACCACCCCTTCCATACTTCAGCAGGAGAGCGTGCATAATTTGAAACCTTGGCCGATCAACGTCTTGTTTGTTTTCCTGTCCTTCTTAGGACAAAAACAGCGAGAAAAGTGAAACGTGTCAAACTTGTCCGATCAACGTGTTTTGTTTCCTGTCATTCTTTGGACAAAACAACAAGAAAAGTAAAAACGTGTCAAAAGGCCGATCAACGTCTCGTGCTGTTCACTGTTCTTCTAAGAACAGAACACCGAGAAAGCGTGAACCGTAAAACGTAGCTTTGGCGAAGTAACAAAGCTGCTACCAGTCAGAGACCAGTCGTCATATTTCTCTCAGTCACAGGAAGACGTTTCATCCTGGTGACAGATCTCAAGCCGCTGATTGCCCTCTTTGGACGAACGAAGCCAATTCCAGCTCTGGCACAAATCGACTTGCCAGACGGGCTCTGACTCTGAGCCAATACAACTTCACCATAGAGTATCGCAAGATATCAGCGCACCCCAACGCAGACGCCCTGCGTAGATTGCCACTAGGGGCGGATCCATCTTTTGATAGGGAGGAGACTGGTGCAGACTCAGCAACTATCGCCACCATAAAACGTCGCTCGACACTGCACAGCTTGCCACGAGCACCAGAAGCTGCCCCCTAAGCAGCCGTCTCACCCATAGATCACCCCCGACAAACCTTGGAGCCGCGTCCATATTGACCACGCCATCAACTTCAGAGGTCATAACTGGCTGGTCATGGTGGACGCATTCTCCAAGTATCCATGCATCTACCTCATGTCCTCGATAACAACAAAGGCGACCACCCGGAGACTCGACGAGGACTTTGCTCACTTTGGCTATCCACACGCCATTGTGACGGACAACGCCACTTGTTTCTCGTCAGCCGAGTTCCAGACCTGGTGTGAGCAGCGGGGCATTCTACACCTACACGGAGCCCCCTACCATCCCGAGTTCGAGATGAGCTGGTGCCTGCTCATCGTCTCAGCAAAGACAGCCCATGCTTCTCGCTTCCCTACAAAGGTGGGCGTAAGGACAGATGGAAGCCAGCTGTGGTGACCGCCTTCCTGGGTCACAAACTCTACGAGGTCCGTGTGCTAACAGACGGCCCGATGTGGAGACGACATGAGGATCAACTTCGCCCTCGACACGCACGTCACCAGCCGTGACATGGACATATTGTGAACTTTGACATTTCTCAGGTTGTGATTGCTTCTGGGAACACTTTAGACTTTAGTCTTCAGATACCTTCAGACCGAAGGGGAGGTGTTGTATAAGGGAAATAATTAGACCTGCACGTGGTTCATTCCCTTAGCAGGACATTGGCTATTAAGTTGTTCTCCTTTATAGAAACATTTATTGTGTCATTTTCATATCATAATATGTCCTGTTTGTATTTCATATTCTTTGCCATCGTTTACCATTAAGCTGGTGTTGTATTATTCTATGTGAGAATGACTGAGACGTGTGAGTGTCAATTATTAATGAAGGCATGTATTCTGTATCATGTAAATCATCTAACATGTGTAGATATTGTTCCTTTTACATATTGATCATAAATAAACGGCTTCGTTATGTTCGACCTAAGACGAGACTCCTGTGTTTCTGATTGATATTCAAGTTTGCTGTTTCAAGTTTGCTGTTACAAGTTTCCTGTTACAAGTTACCAGACCTAACACCAATATATACGATTACTTTTCATAATCACAAAAAGAATTCCCTCGTGAAAAAGAAACCAAGACCAAAAGACATGGCCGGTGAAGGAGGTGACAATGCAGACATGACCAGTTCAAACGTTAAGGAAAAATCAAACACTAAGATAGAGTCACAAATGAGGCTGACACTGTAAACCATTACCAAAAGGAAGGTACTGTAGAATAGGAGATTGTCTTTGGGGGGTGGGGAGTGTTGACCATGACAGAAACCGAAGAGGAAAAGAAGAGAGTGCTGTCACAAACCTACAGAAGTGTTATACAGAAGGTGTTCGAGAGCTATACAGACACATGGAAGAAGGGGTGTATGTATAGGACTGTGTTGTGTTACGTTAGGAAATCGTTACAATGAAAGACCACAGCCACAAGGATGGGAAACGCATTATACAGGTGGGTGAGAGAGAGAGAGTGAGAGAGAGAGAGAGAGAGAGAGAGAGAGAGAGAGAGAGAGAGAGAGAGCGAGAGAGAGAGAGCTGCTGTGGACACACTAAAACTCTGCTGTGGTTGTTGCACGTTTCACGATCACAGACCTCCATTACAATCTTGTTTAAATTTCTCACTCTAGACTAGGCCTACGTTTCGACTTCGACATTCTCTATAATTATTATGGCGACATGGTGCCCCGGTTTGGGGTATGACGTCAATAGTTTATGTACATTGTACAACACCATGAGTCACCAAACTGGCCCGCGAGATCAGCTCGTCTGGCCCACCACTATGCCACCATGCGGGACAAAAACTGAAAGGTGTGTTCCTGGCTGGCTCAGAACTTGGTCATCAAATTAATTCAATCTTTTCTTTGAACTCTACATTGCAAATGAAATGTGCTTTCACAGGCTTCATAACGTCAGCCCAATGATTCACTCTTGCTCGGCTTTAATTTGACAAATTCTTCATTTAACACATCATTATATTTGTATTGCATTGAACAAAATACAGCAGTTATCCGAGCAGAGCTCGGTATTCTCTCAGTTATCCGGCCCACTTTTTAAAAAGTTTGGTGACCTCTGCACTGCATGATAACCTTTTCCATGCATGCAACCAGACACACGAGAACAAAGACAACAGTTTATCACAACTGTCGCACGTCATAGGGCGTATAATTATATTGCTTAGGCGTTTAGTCGCTAAGTCTAAACACAACGAACACAAACGTTCTCTGTCAGCAGTATCTCTCGGCTTTAGTTTTAGTTCTAGTAAGAATTGCACGGTACTTGCAACACAATTAGAACATAATATAATATGTGCTGAAGATTATAGAGGTATTACTAGAGAGTAACATACAAAAGAGAGAAGGGGACAGAAGGATGATAGATGGTTGATAGGAAAGAAGGAGCAACCACACCAAAGCACCAATCAATTACCCACTATCTATGGGCTAACCATACTACAACCGGCGAGTGTAGAACAGTTTCTGGCCCCTCCACATTTCAAGAGCATGTAAAAGAGTTATTCTAACGGGACGTACCCCAACCCAAACAGCCCGGGTTGGCCCGGGCAAACAGGGTCGGAGTAGTCCTCCTCACCATAAACGACCATAACTGTGTCGGTGAGGGCGTAACACATTCAGGGCAAATACCAACAACTAGCACAGCACACTGTGAACTACTACTTCCCAAACCCTCATTAGAGTGCATTTAAGTCTATACCCGAAGGCCTCTCCTCTCCCTGTTATGAAGGTCAATCTTCTAGAGATGAGTGCAGGTCTAACACACCCTGCCGCTATTTTTTATTAAACTAGTAAACATAACTGAGCGTGCACAGAACCGTCACCCTGTGTCCAAATTCCCACTGTACTGGTGGGTGCTACGCAAGCGACTCATTTGCATATCTACATATTCAAACCCAAAGTGACCAAAGTAAATATTTTAATGTGTGTTCTTATATTGATCTGCAAACTACTACAATAAATAGTGATAATAAGTGAATTCTTATAATTTTAAAAATCCTTTAAAGGCAAAAAAAGCACAGCACTATGATGTTTGAAGCGATGATGGCCTAAGCTAGGTTGATGGGATTGGGGAAAGGGGGGGGGGGGCGTATGCGGAACTAGGCGGGCAAGATACAGACCTCGAGAACGGGATCCTTTCTTAACGATCCCACCTGAGCAGCAGAATGATGGAGGAGAGAAGAGAGAAAGTCATCAACATTGGCAAGGAATAATTCAGCATAAAATGTGCAAAGAGAGACGAAACGTCATTGATAATGGCATGGCATAAAAGAAATACAGCAAGCATGAGCCAAGTTATACAGAACTTCATCGATATTGACATGACATTATACAACATTACCTGAGCATGGAGAAAGAGAAAAAATGTCACTGTAATTTGACAAAGCAAAATACACCTTATAAGGGGGTGGGTGGGAGAGAGAGAAAGAGAGAGAGAGAGAGAGAGAGAGAGAGAGAGAGAGAGAGAGAGAGAGAGAGAGAGAGCATCATATTATAAAAAAGAACATTGGAACGTCATAATACAAAAATACACGGGGACACACAAAGATGACGACCGTGTCGCTTTAGCGTGCACAGCACAGTATGGCACAAAAGGCGACAATTTGAAAAGACAACTAATTTTTTTTTTTAATATACAAGGCAAAGAAAAAAGAACTGGCACGGCAGTGTAAATGCTGTGCGCTACGCGTGTTCCCCTCAAGTGAGAGGAGAAGAGAGGAGTGCGCAACTGGGAACGGCTTCTTAAAAGGGGTGATAACAGGGAAACGTTGGAGGGGGAGGGGGGCGGGAGGTGTCAACATAAAAGCGACTTTATTCTCACTCTGTAAAGGTAATTTGAATAGGCATTACAGAACACAGTCTAACTGTCATTGTACGACCTCGCCAGGAGGCGGGAGAAGGTAATATCAATAAATTAATGGCAAATGTTGTTATTGCTGTTGTATAGATTTAACGCCCCTTTCAATACCGTAATTTTATCTAAGAGGCGAGACCTTCGATTTTAACGTCCATCTCCGATGGGCCAAGGCCAAATGGATGGAGTGCCTTCAAAATTCCAAAGAAACAGCCCAAGTTCAAGAGCGGCTCTTTGGGGATTCGAACCAGAGCCATCCACTTCATAGAGTCCATACCAATTGAGCTAACAGAGGATACAAATGGCAAACGTGAATAACAGGGCCAATAATAATGGTAACAATGCAGTTTTGCAAATGAAACAGCGGTGTTGTCTTTTTTTCAAAAGAATTCTTGGAGTTCCAAGGTAAAATCTATTTAACTGTGTAACGTTCCCAAGTCTGTGTGATAAGATCGTGAACACGCCCCCCCC